GAAAATTGTACTACTTCGCGTATGTGCGGCCTGAGTTCGATGAAATCGATGAAACCCTTTACATTTTGCTGCCGGACAGGTTTTCGAGTTGATCACTTTGCAAAAATGATTTTTCTTCTTGTTTATAACTATTGTTATTGCAAAATTCTTATTTTTCTCTTATGGTAGCCCGTTTAGTACGGCGGTTACAGCGGCCTGAATCTCCGAAATGTTGTTATAACGTGTCCCTTTCATTGGAATTTTCAATTTTCGGACAAGAAAATAATCGCAGGGAGACAGATCAGGCGAGTAGGGTGAATGATCCAAGGTAACAATGCCAATTCCAATGAAAGGGACACATTATAGCAATATTTCGGAGATTCAGTCCGCTGTAACCGCCGTACTAAACGGGATACCAAAACAGGACCTGCAAAGGTCCTTCGAAGTGTTAATAACGCGATCTACGCGCTGTATTGACGCAGAGAGAGATTATTTCGAGTAAATAAACGTGTGTGTAAAAACATTGCTTGTACCTTTTTCTTTTTGTAGCAAAAGTTCGGTTTCTTTTTAGACAGACCGTGTATATCTGCGTACATCTATGGAGATTCAGGAAACTGAGGAAACGCCAGAAGCAATGTCGAGCACAACGAAACGGAAGAGAGGAATCCTAATGACACGTGACGAAGATACGCTTCGAACGCCTCATTGAAGAATCCTTATTCCACAAATGTTCCCTTCACACCGCAACTCACGATTCTCGTCTCGTACCTGCCGTCACGTGTCGGCGGCATTGTCGAGTTCTTGACAAGGCTGTCCGCAGAAAGAAGCACGCATACACGTACCCGCACTTCGTTTCGGCAGAATAACGGTGCACTGAGCGTCGTGTTACGCAGTGACGCTAAAAAAGTAACCAAGAAAAAGTGCAAAAAGAAACCGTAAACTCGGTCCGTAGTCGTAAGGAGACATCAAGGACCCAAGCGTAAAATGAGAAACGAAATCGTTGACTGACAATGAGAGCCGTCGATGAAACGACAAGTTGTTATTTCACTCGTCACCCGTCTTGATCAACGGAAATCCCTCGAGAGATTTTTAAGGAATTACTTTATAAAAGCGGATTTATTTATAAGTTTCGACCGACTGAACTCGTTTTCGTTTCAATCACGCTGCAGGTTTTAACGAGGAATTCCGTAGACGAAAAAATGAACATTTTATTGGCAACGAGCAAGAACATTGATTATCCCGCTGAATAATACCGCGGACGGGCGAATGTTCTTATTGGACTTTCTCGAGATGAACTGAAACTTAATACGAGAGTTGCGCGAGCCGAACACTCGACATTGACGAACAAAGTGAAACATTTCGCGTGAATGCAACTCATCAAGTTTACGAAGCCGGGACAATTAAAATAAGACCAATGGCTGATAAGAGAGGTACCTGTACACGATCTGCTTCACCTTCGGATGAAAAGGTAGTCGGTTTACTTTACTGACAGCGGCACGACCGTGAAAAAGGAACTCGACGCCGATAATAACCGGGTATCCCGTAACAATCGCCGAGTATTTATTCATGCATTTATCCATCTCGCACAAACTATCTACGTGATTTTAATTTTTCATTGGGTTGAGCGGGTTCACAGTGGGCAGCGTGTACGCAACGACATAGTTGTCAACGGCACTCATGCTAGGCGATTGCTGGTCAAATAGAGCCGGGCGATTATAACGATATTACCGATCAGGTCGCTGCAGCGTTCTTGCTGCGATCAGAAGCGACAAAGAAAACGTGATAGTTATATATTGAAATAGAAGGAGAAAACAAAACTCAAAAGCTCAAGGAAAGTTCCTATTAAAATTAAAAAAAAAAAAAAAAAAAAAAAAACAACGAGTAGGTTAAGATACATACAGTATTACAGAAGTACACATAGACTACAAAGAGAGCCTAATATGAAGACTGAGGATTATTAGGTTGTAAGGAAAAAGTATATATCTTCTAAAAAGATTCAATTTTTTGTCTGTTATACAATAAAATATATATAAAATATATATTAAATAGACGAGTCCTATATAAAGTTTATTAACATAGTATAATAAAGATTATTACAACCTCGACTTACGAATTAAAGAAGTTTATTGTTCTGTCTTTCCTTATCGCGGTTAGTTATAAGAAGGATAGCCAGTAAGAATAGAGACTAAGAAGCATTAATGTAAAACGTTTAAAAGAGAAAATGTAAAAAGAGAGCGTCGCATAGTAGTGCAAAGTACTGCTACGAATGTACGCACTTTGATTTAATAAACAAACAAACAAACGATCAGAAGCTACGAGGTCCACGCGACTTGTGTATACTTAGCAACTTAGATAACATCCCTAATACACACAATTCGAGTTCGAATCTAACAATTACATTTTTAAAAGTTACATTTCTTTCTTCTTAATGTATAATATTTGTCTGTCTATCTATTGTCAGTCTTCTTGACACGAATAATTTTTGAATATGTTATTATATTTAAAGTTCTTACATGTATATGCCGTCTTTCTATAATATTATTTGTATATCCTTCTCAAGAATTCCGCTGGATATCTTTACTTTTTTAATTTATTTTCAATATTCCGACACGGAAGTAACTAGCAAATTGTGAACGAATATTTACAACAAACTCTCTAAATAATACGACATGGAAATATCGTTATAAAATTGATAGACGAGTTTCAACTCGTTTCAGACGAGACAAGTTTCTAAAATCTCATGACTTATCGTCGTAAATCACATATCGTTTCTAGTATACTAACATGTATACTGTGCTTATATAGTAATCGTATCTAAGTTTAAGTTTTGTGTAGTACTACAATGTATCTAAGTTTAAGTTTGTTTGATTCTGTAATGTGTACTGATTGATTTCATTTACAACGTATTTGTCAATATGCTCAGGAATGAGCATATTGATAATAATCCCGTAAGGGGTTCAATAGCGTGATAAAAAAAAAAAAAAAGAACGATACGTTTACGCGAGCCTAAGCTAACGCGAGACGGGGCATCGCTAGATTTTCTCTCTTCTCGAACTGGCTCGAGCGCGACTCGTTTTCCCTTTTTTCTCGTCCGCGACCTTCTGCAAGGTCTTCGAGCAGAAGTTCGCGAATAGGAATGCGTGACTGGACGATTTTATAACCCTTTTTCAATTACTCCATTCCTGGTGTTACTGTTACTGCCAGTTCACGGCGCAGTTTGCGCGAGGGGAGAAGAAAACTTTAACTCACAGAATGCACGCGCACCGTCTAAATGCCGCCTAGAGATTGTCCCCTATACCTTTCTTCTTCCCTTCGAGCCACCCACCTGTCTCCATCTTCAACACGCGATCCTCTTTCTCTTCTTTTCGCTTATGCTGCCACCGGGGCCGTGATTTATTCGACGTCGACTACGGAGAATGGCCCCGGCGGTGACGCAGGACGAGGCGGAGAGGGTTCGATAGCGGCATCGAGGGTTCCCGAGAAAACGAGTTATCCTTAAGGAGGATGTCCAAAGCCAGATGAGCCAATAATTTGTTTTGGCCCGTTTGCCGATGATACGCCTCGAGTCGGGGCTATTATCCAGCCTGAATGACGTTTTACACGCTCAAAGGAGAATTTCCATCATGGGGACGATTATTTAGTTAATCGTGAAATACTTTTATCAAGATTATGTTTAAGAATGACAAATGTTAACTTTTGTGATCACGTTCGTTGACTTTTCGATATAAATTATATCGTAGCTGATCAATCTTTTAGGCACATCTATCTTATTTAGATAGATTGTGCACAATATGCAAAATATATGCAACATGTGCAAAATATGCAAAATAAAAAATATATTTTGCGGAATCATCTAATCGTGACATAAATTTCTGTCCAGGTCTCATTCGTCTACCTATTTTCTATAAAAATATGCATTTGCATAAAGAATATTCTATGAGTTTCAAGCTGTTAATAATCTTGTTTGCCAAGCAGAGATAGAAAACACATGGAACAGATAAATTGTTACACGATTTTGATTATGGCCGTCACTAAAATAAAATATAAAAAGTATAATTTATGAAAATGACAGAATTTTATAAGAAGACTTCGATTTTATTGAAATTTTAGTGAGTATCAAATAGGCCGCAAATATAGATTTCAGGGCTTAGAAGCTGTCAAATGCAGATATTTCTTTAAAACAAGGAGAACAAAATATTTTTAAAAAATTTGTTACGCTAAAGTAAGGTTTATTTCGTAGTTCTTAAACAGTTATAATTTATTGCAAACAGGTTAGTATTAGGTTGTCCCAAAAGTTTCTTTCGCTTTATTAATAAGTAGTAGATACACAATATTACATGTTTTATGTTACATTACTGAATTGTGCACGATTCATTTTGTTCCATTACTGTTACAACATGAATATCTATGAAATTAGATTGTCTATTTATATAAACACGACCACATAAAATAATTGAGTGCAACTAGCGAGAGAAACTTTCGGGACAACCTAATATACTCTTCCTGTGAAGTTAGTCATTTTCAAAATGTTGAACAATACTTCTAAATATTGAGATATTGCAGAAGAGTAAAAAATGTCTTAATTTTAGTAAAATTGTACATTTTGCTCTAAAAAGTGTCCGATTTGAAATTGAGTAGCAACATATTATATTAGCACTCGTACTATCCTTTTATAAATCCGCGCAACTAAGAAGTCTCTTTGATTTGATTTAATCCCGCAATTAATCCCATAATCGACTACTTCCTAACTAATCGATCAATTACACCATAAAATGAACCGTTAATGCCTCGCGACCATAATTTGACCACAATGAGAAATTCTGGGAGTACGGAATCTTCAAGTTTTGTGGAAAACAGAGAAACAAAATGGTACCTATGTAATTCAATAGATCAAAATTCAAATGTGTCTCGTTTGAGTTTTTCTTAAAAATCGTCACGAACTTTCCAAACAACCCAATACTTAGACGGAGAAATCACTAGATCCGAACAGAAATATTCATGTTCTTTTTTATTATTTTCAGTCACGATGAGGACGTCACTGGTATTGCTGGTATCCGTCGTAGCTTCCGCGACGGCAATGCCCCTTCGGGACACCCTGAACGCTGGATTGTTTCCGCGGAACAAGGACGTGCTTCCAGCTTCCACGAAAACAGAGCCTGTCACCGCCAAGGACGCGACGAATCAACCGACAAAAAAGCAATCAGAGAAGACCGACGGTGGAACGAAAGATTGGCGAACCACGCCGCTGACTTCGATCCCGAGCCAAGATGATCGAGCGGATACCGAGCAGGACGCTGCCCAGAAGCAGCCTAACGAGGGCAAGGAGAAAACCGCCAAGAAGAATCGGAAGCACAAAGCCATCTTCGTTAACTATCCCATCGTCTCGGAGCTACAATACTCCGACGTACCGTACGACATCGATTACAGCGACAACAGCTTCGATACCGACGAGAGGTCAGCAGCGGACGCTAACAGGTACCAAGAAAGCAACATCTTCTACATTCGGCTGCCACCTACGCCCTACATGTTCGTCCCGGGTCTGGGCTACATTTCGAATCCTCCCACTTACTCGACCTCGAATCTTCATCCGCAAATACCGTTCACGAGGCCCGCGAGACCCAAGCCTGTCTATCGACAACCCGTTAACCCTTTCATCAAGCTGCCAATAGATTTCGTGAGCAACGGGAAGCCAACGTCGGTCTATCAATGGCAGAAGAAGCCTGCCAAAAAACCGAGCGACACTCCGATCACGAATCTGGACAGCCTATCGGCGGAGTTCGTAAGCAACGGGAAACCGACGTCGATCTATCAGTGGCAAAGCAACGCGAAGCCGATCAATAGACCCGACGATTTCGTCCACAACATGGACAAGGGACCGTACAGTTTCAACGGGAAACCGACCAGCTTCTTCCTGCTGAAATCCGATGGAACGTCGTCGGCCCAACAATCCCTTCGCTACTCGGACTACCAACAAGATAATTCTTATTATTGAAGACCGCGAGCCGCGGAGCTCGTTGCCATCGACACGTGAAACGATTACCGGGGATTGTAGAAATTGGTAGCCTCGTTCGCATTTCGAACGACGATCCGGAGTATCGAGAATTTGAGGAGTATGCGTACGAGGAATGCTGGCTCGCGAGTCTCGTCGAATCGTTGCTTCGCGATGAATGGGTGAGTGCGGGCTAAGGATGCGAACTCGAGACGTCGAGTTAGGAGGTTTACATGCTGACAATTTTCCGGCATGACAACTATTTCACCCATTCACTGTCTAGGAAAAGCGTTTCGCCTTGGCCGCCAAGATTTAACCATTTGCACTCGAGAGGTTTCCTTTAGGTTTCATTTCTTTGGAACTCGAAGTGCCAATGAAATGATTGTTGTTGAAGCAAAGGTGACCTGATTCTCAAATCTATACAAGTCTATAAATTTATAAGTCTCAAGTCTATACATTTATAACGAATGGAAATAAACAGATTATTAGCGCCATGAGTATCTTCCTTTCACGATACCAATATTAGTGGCGTCAGTTTAGATTTTCAATTGTCTAACCCTTTGGACTCGAGATGTGACTCTCAGACACTGCTAGGTTTTCTTTAGGTTTCATTTCTTTGGAACTCGAAGTGCCAATAAAATAATTGGCGTTTCGGCAAAGGTGACTTGATTCTCGAATCTCAAATTAGAGATCTGATTCGAAGTCAATATAATCTTAGCATTCGTGGCAATAGAATGCTATTTAATTTCCACTTAACTTATTTACAATTTATTTATATATTTATATAGATGAGAATATAATTTAAATTTTCAATTTTAACACTTTATCTACCGGGCTATTTAGAAACAGTGTTTAATTCAAAAAAGAATTTTCTACGGTAGCATATGCCAACCTAGGCAACATACAAAAATTTTGCAGAATTTTTTTAGCAGTTTTTCAATAATAATGGCGGCGCTCCTGTCTACGCACATTTCTGTTCGTTCAGGTAGTTGTTCCCCGTTGAAATTTTCAGTTAATTGACCATCTACTTTACGCTTTTGATTAATTTTGATTAATCGTACCTCGTAACGACAAAATTCTAGGCTATTGCGCGGATGACCAGGGTTCGAATCCCCAAGTTGCATATCTTTTTTTTAAGTCATTGATCTTTTTTTATTTATTCCATTTTTTCACATAACGCCACTTATTTATTTTCTACTAATTTTTAAATAAAATATCTTTATTTGGGAGAAATTGTAATAAATAAATAAATAACATATTTCAGGAAGTTTTAAAGAAAATTTAGTGGTCTTTTAACTTGCGTCACAGCTCTGCAGTGCGATCAGCTGACTGGAATAAAAATGTGCGCGCACTAGAAATCACGTATCTGGGTACCAAACCTTAGGTTGCGAAATGACGAGAGACTATTTGATTTGATGTGCGGAATTCATCCTGAAAAAGATTCTACATTCTCATTAGCATCATGTATGTACAGTTTTTCGAGACATTGGCGCGGAGTATAGACATTAAATTTATTAAAATCGATTTCGACTTATTAAACTCGATTTTTAAATTTTGTACAAGAAACAGAAAAGATGTACAGTGCTTCTATTTATGTTAAATGAAACTTAATATTTGTTCATGAATAATGTATTTATTTATAAAAGGTTTGTTTCTTTGTAGCAGTTGTACGAAAAAAGGTTGCAAAAAGGTTGCAAAAATGTTTAAATACATACATTTTTGTGTCCATAACGATCGACAATTGCAAGAACATTTTAATATATAAGTTTTAAGAGTTTATACTAAGGAATCGAAGAAAGTTGTAAAAATGTATAAATTCGTAACTTCCGTAGGTTTGTAACAAATGTACAAGGAAGTTGTAATGAACTGTTGAATCAAAGTTTTCGCGTGTTTATAAGTTATATAAATATACAAATTTGTAAATACAAATTTACGAAAAGATTATTGATCTAAATTTTATAAAAACAACAATTCACAATTACAATTTCAAATATAATCATTTGATGAGTGAAAATTAATGTAATTAACCAAAAGACAGATAAATCTGATGGCTAGTTATTGAATACGAATAACGCACCATCAGAGAAAGTTATGATCAATTTAGTTAACAGTTGTCATTACGGATTACCTATTTCAATCGTAAATTTTAATGGTTTCTTTGATTAAATTTTGTTCAATGCCGTACCTAGATGAAAAGAAGTACTTAACTGTTATGTTTATTATACAATTGTATATAAGTAACTTACTTCTTAATAAGCATTTATTGTTAGACTGTAAATAGGTCATGATTAGACTGCGGATATTTATGTATTCATGGCAAGTGGAAATATGTACAAGTATATCCATGAATGCAAAAATATGTAAACTATCAAAAATAAAATACATGTTACACTGTTCAAATGATAAGGCATACTCTCTATTCTTTACCTAAATCTGTAAAAATACGAATTTGTATAAACATTCGCAGTCTAGTCATGACAATAGTATTTAATCATAGTTTTCAAAGAATTGTATTTCAATAGAATGCACAGACCGATAAGGAGGAATATGTTCTATTCTTCCTCATTGACTCTCGTGAGAAATCACGGGTGGTGTCAAACTCAACTCAACAATTGAGTTGCTGGAAAATTAAAGGTATCAATTATAAATTACATTTTACAATCCACGACAATTAATTTTCCAGCACCGATTAAAAATATCGTTAGCATGCGAAAAGGACGAACCGTATTTAATAAATCACTATCGTCGCCTATTAGTAACCGTACACATATTTTGTCTAACAAACACATGCGTAACTAAATAATAGAGAACCGCTAAGTTTAAAGAAATGTTGAAGTTACAGCACTTACGTGTTCAGTTGTTTTTAACGTGGTCATTGTGACACGATTCTTCGACGCTGCTGAGTTCACTGTTCTCGTGTTACAATGGTATTAAGTGCTTTTAACCAAATATGAACGTCGATATTTAGAGATTGTAATTCGTACATTCGAATACGCTGTTTATGATTCTGATAGAAAAATTAACGTGGACGTGACTACTATCGTGTAAGGATTGCACCTTGAAAGCCAGGCTATTGAGTATTTCGAGTGAACCAGCGCAAATTATCGCTAGTATAATGTACCCGATCATTTCGATGGGTGTAACTGCTTTTTATACGCTACATTTGAAACGGTGGCTCTACCTTGGCCCAACTCAACAGGTTTTGCCATTTAATAGCTCTGTTTCATTGCAAAAATATTTATTACCACGCCCAACAAGGGATTCGTTAAAACGGTTGAATTTATGTTTGGAAGGCAGAGTGGAAACCAAAGCAACGACCATCAAATTTATCGTCCTCCAAGTCTGAAATTTTCCCTCGGCTCCTGTGTCGCTCGATAATTCACCCCGTTACCATGAATTTATTGCGCCCATTTAAATGGTATTATTATACTTCCTTTCCAATTGAGTACTCCACATCGAGCAGACGTGTAATTATTCTTGAATGTATAGCTATTATTTATGAAATATCCATATTTATATGCCTGTTTATGCGTCCATTAATTAAGGATCACGTAACCGTATATTTGCATAGCTAACGAATTGCATCGAGTATTAGGATGCCTGTTTGCTCAATAGTTAGCGTAACGTATATACAACTATATACATATATATTAACTGTCAATCGTTTTGTGCAACGGCAGAGATCGTGATTGCGAAGCGTGTAATGTTATCGTAGCGTTTCGTATCGTAATCTTATATTCATTTGCAAGTCGAAGTCATACAGTGGGTGTAGAATGTAATTCGTACACCGATCAATTTCCCAAAAAAACTTTGTGAAATTGTAGTTACTTAACTTCTTATTTTTATAATCAATGATATCTCAAATATTCTCGGAAGTCTTTTTTTTTTGTTAATTTCGTAACTTACATAAGTAGCTATTTTTTTGTAATCTATCTATTCTAGAGATTTCCGAGAATATGTAGAATGTCGTTGTTTATAAAAAATAAGTTAATAAACTACAATTCTACATCGTTGTTTTTGGAAATCAATCGGTGTACGAATACTTTCTACACCCACTGTATTTGTATATTTTCGTGTCGACAATGCGACGTTCTATACCTTGTAAATATGTGATAAATACAGAAAACTTAAATCGATTCGATCATTTTTCTTTCAAACCACGAAAGCGAAGCGTTCGTATTTTCCTTGAATCCTTAACATCACGGGTTGGCTGCGTCGACAAGAAGACGTGTTTCATATGTTTCCCCCTCTCACGTAACACAAATATTGACTTGGGACGCGAGTCTGCACGGGATTATATTCTGTCTGGTTGCGGAAGCACTCTCGGAGATCTATGCTACTTACTCAAAGAGATTCAATTCATAGATACCGGCAGTACCATTCCCTTCGTCTCGAGGATACCGACTTTGGGTGGAATCTCGATTTAAGCTCGCATTTCGTTTGGGGACGCGGCGTCAGAATAAGAATTCGATCATCCGATTTTGTAAATACTTCTAGCACCCTTCTAGCACCCTTCTAGTACCCTTCTAGTACCTTAAAATCGATGCATCGGTTTTGTGACTTTTGCGAGAAATACCTTACAATTTCAGCATACATATACGCATACACAAGGGATTACTTTTAATTAAATGAATGCTGGAAGTAAAACTTATTCGTGCCGAACAGAAACATAAATGTTTAAACATGTACCGTATTACTTTCAATTAAAATATTTGTCCTCCTCGATAAACTAATTAAAAATTTAGTGTATATATGACAGGCTAGTGAATTCGTTTTGAAAAGTACCATCAGATAGTCCGAAACGAAATATTAACTCAATTATTTCATATGGTCGTGTTTATATAAATAGACAATTTAATTTCATAGATATTCATGTTGTAACAGTAATGGAGCAAAATGAATCGTGCACAATTCAGTAATGTAACATAAAACATAAAATATTGTGCATCTATTACTTATTAATAAAGCGAAAGAAACTTTTGAGACAACCTAATACTAACGCGTTTTCAATAAATTATAACCGCGCCCCATTTTACCATGCAATTTCCATATTAACAATTTTGCATACGGCCGATAGCTTTGGAGTTATAGCTTTATAACAAATGACGTGGGACACCCTGTATACATATCCAACTATAGTAGGGTGCAGCAATGTAATCTAAGCATGAGAGTTTCAACTCCAAGGCAAATACCACGAAGTAGCGTTTTAAAATTATACGAACGTACCAAATTCTTTGGATAGTTATAAGACGAAACAAACACGAGAGATAAACAAATGGTTCAAAATCAAAGAATTCGAGAATATAATTGTTCGCAGGGGTTTCTACTTATTTATGAGCTAACCACCGTTCCACCCACACATTAGAGGTTTAGAGTTTAGCCATCATCCGACCTCCAGTTCGAAGGACCTTCAGATCCATTAAAATTAAATTAAATTGAAATTTAAAATTAAATTAAATTAAAATAAAATCGAAGACCTTGATCGATAGAATCGATGAAACTGTTTCTGAAGTATCGAATTTGAAAACGTATGTCATCTCTGTATAACATCCTCGTTGTTTAGAATGAAAATAAAACTGTGATGCACTAATAGATTGAAACTGAAACTTTACATATTTCCCGTTCCGCGATTAAAAACACAAAGCAATGCTCGGCCTTTTTTTCGTCGGGTATACATAGGTAATACATATATGTACAAAATACTATAAATACTTTTATTCGTTACACTGAATGCCATGGTTCGATACAATTGAGCTTCTTCCTATAACATGTATATATTATATATATATACATATACATATATGTATATAAGAATATAAAAAATGTTTGTTGTTCTCGCGCTCTGCAATTTAGTTGTAAAAAACGAGTAAAAATCTTTGCGTGACAATATGTAGAAAAGGCATGTACATACATACTATTGAGAAGTTATACACCATGTCTCGCTAGAAGCAGGCCAAGTTAATGTCTTCGTTATTCTAAATATATAAAGGAATATAACGTAAGATTTGTAGGTATATACTGTCCATTTCTTAAATGGAATTCTTTTTACTGTCTCAAAACTGGCAGTCACATCTTTTGAGTATTAAAGTATTGCGTTATGTCTACTGTAAAACGTTACGTGCTATTCGGTTTCTAAAGTAATTAAAACAATAATCGCTAACAATCCACGTGGAAGTTGATACCACTTTGATTGAAATTAAAATTTATACTTTTTACAAATGCAATTCACTTTCGACTAAATCATTCGTAATATTTAAATGAAAATTTAGATACACATTTAGAAGACCCTGAGATGTCTTTCAAATTATTTCAGATTTTTCCGCCGCGTTAGTTTGTTATTAAACATTAATGAATATTGAAAAATATGAAAGCATTAATGTATCCACATTGGAACGATCATTTTGAATTTTAAAAATTTGACTTCAGAATCGATATTAACGACTCAAGAAATAAATAATGATAAGTGCTTAGTTACTGATTTTCAACAAAATCGGTCGAACAGAGAGGTTGGTCATTCAAGGGATTAAAGATCGTTCCTTTCAATTATTTAAAACGAGTAAGTTATTAAGGTGGCCTATTCCTAGGACATCCTGTGTTGTCCAGTCTTTCTTAAGAGTTCGCTCGCGAACGATCGCTCCAGAGGGCACAGAGAGCATTACTCTTCTTCTATCGACTGGCGCCAACTCACGTCTCTCTAGAGTAGTCGCTCGAAGCACGCGTAGTAACGGCACACCTTCGCATAGTGGTCAATTCTAACAATCCAGGTGGACAAAATTATAAAAGGAATTGTTCTCGACCTTTTTACTAATAGTCTACTAGCTTTGAAATTTTTACAGTTTTGATAAGTAAGAAATACAAATAGATCGCTATCACGGACATTCAAACGGTTAGGAATCAAGATACCAAAACGTTTAAGTACAGTCACCATTTCAAACATATCGTGTAATATTTTAGTCTTGCTCGTTTAATGACATTAAATGGGTGAACGTTAAATTGTCTCTGTTCGTTAAATTATTATTTTAGGAAACTAACTTCCCGGAAGGTCACTCGAAGGTCAACATACTATACATGTTAAATATTATATGTTTATCTCTGACTATCTCTAGCATTAAAACGATTAGGAATTTCTATGTTGGTATAAATTAAAAGTCTGTCCGTTTAGGATTTCCCTATAACTTTTACAATTTTTGTCTCATTCAGAATTAAGTTCTTCGCCTTCCGACGGAAAGTATAGGTTCTTAAGTTTTTCAATTGACAGAAATATTAGCTATAAGTGTTATTAAACAACATTAGGGTAATTTTTATTTGCGGAAGACAGCAAGAAAGTCTTAATAAATAGAATAAAATGTTTACGCAGTATCTTCATGAGTTTTCCAATAATCCTTTTACACTTTTGACCGTGCAAATTGTTAAGCTTGAACACTATGCGTCGTATGATAGAAAAGTATCTGTTGAACTTATAAAAATATATTGTACAAGTTAAACGTAGCAATGAGAATCGATAGTCGGTGCAATGTTTGTGAAAAATGGATACTGCACCGAAAATCATCTCCTTTGCTTGACCAGAGTTGGGCGTCGTTCCAATAAATTCTTTCGAATAGTATTCGAATAAATGTTACGAATAAATCGATAAATGAAGACGAAACGATTCGATGTGAAACAGTCAATTTATCGCGTTGCGCGATAATGTCCGACGTGAAATTGTTTGTAAACGAATGCCACTGGGTGGCGGTGTTTATTCGTTACATTTATTCGGCGGTCAGGCATTTCAAATAACAAATAAACTCATACTCGAACAAATTTGGTTCGATTCACGCTATGGATTTATGTTAGAGATCACGGTTTTGAACGGGCATTAAAATACACGTGTAGACGGAACAAGTGTACCGTGTATTAAGGGATTGAGGGGGCATTTCACTGTGAACGCACAAAAAAAAGCATATTTTCAATCATTTTTTTCTCAGGAACTATTGCATAAAATCGAATGAATGTTTCTTCCTCTTAAAGGTATGATTAAGGAAAGTAAATAAAACATTTTTTTCTGGTAAAAAATATTTCGTCATTTTTTTTACAAAATAATATGCATGTGTGCAAAAAAAAAAGGTTTATTAAACTATGTCGTCCTACCTATGGTCAGGACCTCTACTTGGTACCACCTTAGTACCACAGTAGTAAAAATCAAAATCAAAACTACTTGGAGGTTCCGACGATAGGTGTGACGACATCGCTTAATAAACTTTTTCGATTTTCTGTTTCAGATTACCAGGAGAGCCAAAATCACCTGCGTCAGCGGATAACTTTTTTTTTTCTGCACACATGCATACTATTTTGTAAATAAATGAAGAAAAATTTTTTTTATTTACTTTCCTTAATCATACCTTTAAGGGGAAAAACATTCATTCAATTTTATGCAATAGTTCCTGAGAAAAAAGTGATTGAAAATATGCTTTTTTTTTGTGCGTACCTGTGAAATAAAAATACACGGATTAAAACACGGATCCATTAATTATATTCCCGGGTATTTCGATACACGCGAATAAGGGATCTCTAATTTATATTCGAGCGAGTCATTCTTTTGTCAAATTGTTCGTTATTCACGAATAAATCTTGAGATTTCATTCGTTGTTCTTTATTCGTTATTCGAAATAAAACAAGTCCAACTCTGACCCCGATCAAGCACCGAGCGTATCAAGTACTCGGCTTAGGCGTCGCAGATTATCTTAAGCTATCCTAATTTAAGTTCGCCTTTCGTAGAAAGTTCCGGCAACCTAAGTTAACCTCCTAACAACTGTAACGAAAGTGGAACGGGTTTGCAGGATACGCGTAAACCTCGAGTGAAGACGATTAATCGAAAGATCATAGTCTCTGTCTTTCTCTCTCCCTCCCGTCGCGCCCTCGTTTACAAAATTTCATCGTCGTCGTACGAAACAACGGCCCCTGTTCTTGTCTCGCCGTGGTGATTACGCGACTACTTTAGGCTAACAAGCTCACGGGCCGTTAACACGTAACATGATTACACACATGTTCACTTGGACTCGGGGATTAAGGTAATAATGGATGATAGTAGACAGGTTTGCGACTCTTCTCCATTACGTAGAACGCCTTAGGCTTGCCATTTCCGGGAAAGTTCTTGTGGATGCTCGTGGAGCCGAACTTGCTAGCAATTGGCGCATAATACGACATGGCTGCCTTCTTCCGGTGTTTCTTCACCTTTGCCGCGTTCCTCGAGCCGTGAAGTTCGTTCGTCAGGTGAATTCTGTGCACGCCGGAATCGTTCAGCCTGTACATTTTGTTGCCGGCGTTGCTGTTGTTTTTCTTCGATGACTCGCTCTTCTTGTCGTCGTGTTCGGGGTAGCTCAGCCTCTTGTCGTTGTTCCTCGGGTGTTTCGGGGGGCTCGTCTTTTGGCGCACGGCAATTTTATTATTCTTGGCGCTGTAATACTTCTTAGTCTCCTGCACGTCGTGACTAATCTTCGGGACTTCCGAATGATCGTCTTCCCCGAAACGTTTCAACGACGTACTTTGATACTTCTTCGCTTCCTCTAGCTTCTTTTTAGCATGGTCCAGCTTCAGTTGAGTCTGCAGCCTCTTCTTTTCGCTGATTTTCTTTACGATGGGTAAATTCCAGTGATAAATCTTCGCCGGCTTGCCGTTACCTTGAAATCCCATGGGGAAATTCGGTCCAGTCTTAGCCGCCATCTCGTCTTTCACGGATTTGTGCGGTTTCGTGATCGTGTAATAGGGCGGGCTGGCTGGAAGCTTCACTATGTAAACGTGACTGTCCCGGTGACCGTGGCGACGACTGTAAGGCTGATGAATCCGTGTCTGAGAGTTCAATCCAGGCGGCTCGGGACCGGCCAAACGTTTTTTGTGGTGTCCGTCTGGGATTTGAAGAGGTGCCAGGCCTAGACGATTCAAGATCGCCGCGTTGCTCGTGTGAACTGTTTCATAGTTGGACGCGGTTTCCTCGGTTGCGATCGCAAGGACGACGACGGCCAAGAAGAACGATGCGCAGGTGAGTAATCTGAAAGGAAAAGCATTGGGTTGATTTTAAGTCAAGTAAAGTACAATCGTACGGAAAGACTAAAAAAAGGTAAAGGTACGAAGCGCTTCTGATTAAAAAAAAAAGAAAGGGTTAGAACAAATAGAAGAGGGGGCGTGGTTCATAAGGATAAGAAACTGATAAGCATTATTAATAGACTGCGGATCTTTATGCAAAATAAAATCTTCGCGAACGTGCCTACAAAAATTGAACCTAAATAGGAATTTCTTTTATTCTGCAAATATTATAACATTAGATTTGCTTTCAATCTTTTTTATATTCTTGCATATTGTTCGCATTTCGTAGGTTCTTGTACATTCAAATTTCCTATGAACGCATAAAGATCCGCAGTCTAATTATTTACGTTAGAATTAGTAAGTCAGTTGATTTGATCCATATGTTTATAATTCCTTTGATAGATTCGCTACGAGCTTGTTATCTAATTTCTGAATTATTGAGAATCTTACGCATAAATGTAAAAGAGGCGTTATATTAAGAATGCGTCACGAACGCTAAGACCGTAGTTTCAAAGTTCGAATGCGTTATGAAATTTATATTTCAATTGCACGCGACTGATTAAAAAAACTGACGAGCGTGAGACTCATTTCTGGACCAATAGAATCTCTTTGCGCGGGGTCCACAGAGGAATCAGACGAAAGGGTCGAGAGTGCTGCGCCAGCTTAGGAGACAATCCATCACGTCTGCCAAGTCGCGGGATCCAAAAGAAAAAGGCAACTCAACCATAACCTTACGCTTACGCGGAGTCTTCGATTGGACAGGAAAAAATGAAACTATCCTCCGAAGCCACCTGGGCGATCGTAAACCGGGCTTGGCCGTCAAAAGAGTGGAAGTAAAGGAAAATATCATTGATCGTAAAAGTGACGACTCTGCCAACGAGACGACTGAGAATTTTACGAGCGGGAAAACGAATGGATAAGCACGCACAGCGATTCCGCTCCGGACGTTTCTTGACGATGCCCGAGCATAATGTTACCAACGCGACGTGATCCGCGGACCGTTCCGAAAACCATGATCGTTTATCGCTTTAATGGCAGGACGATCGATAAATCACCTTTTCCTCTTAATTACTTGGTACACACTGGAAGCAGCCTTCGCTAATTATTCCTCCATCGTTTTTCCCTTTTTCTAAGGCGACGCTTCATGCATAATGCCGCGAAACGTGCGTTCCATTCCACTAACAGCGCCGACGACGTGTTTCCAGCAGCTGATCGTTAACTTCCAGGTTCGACGAAGAAAACATACGAAACTGAAAACCAAATAGACGAAAGCCTAACCGTCGCGACAGCGTCGTTAGAGCAAAGTGAGCCATGATGTTTGAAGTCGAACGTGCTACGGACAACTTGTAACTTCTCTGTTATTACTTCGCCCTGTCCTACGACATGTTGTCATGTATTATTCAATAAATATCGACGCGTCTTTAATAAATCGAAGAACGTTTAATGATCTTGTTTCGGTTCGCGATGATAAACGAAGGAAGATAACAGAAGTACGTTCGCCGGTACGATGTTATAACGAAATGGACACGAGACAGAGTAATATTTCGCGTATGAAATATGCGATGCGAATGATTAAATATCCGTTTATTGCCCGGAGCGTGTTCGAGAGAAAGGCGACGAGCTAGCCGATGACCAATGGTCCTGGGATATCCGTCACGCAATGCACATAAATTAATGCACCAGCCGGGCGTCTCCCTCGTTGTAAAATTATTCCTCCATCCATCTATTCAGTATCTTCGCGTGGCCGACGTGCGTGTTGGCCGTAAAAATAAAAACTAAAATCTCGTGGTTCGAGACGGGACTTTAAAATGACTATCAAGTCTAAGAGTAATATTACTTGGCGAGTATTCGTTGCGTACGGTCCAGGTGTTTAATGTAAATGCACCGAAAGCCCCATTATTCGAACTGTTAACTCTTTGAAGTTAGGTGGGTTAAAAACTATCCTACCTTTTGCTTAGATTTACTATTTTATTTACAGTTTTTCATCAATGTGACAGTATTATGAACCAACGGTGAAAGTACAATAAGTGGAATCAGAAATGTATACAAGTCAAAACTCGTTAGCAAGTTGTTGACATTGCATTTCTGTGTAGCTTGAATTTTCTTTTTCTTTTATAATCGCGTGCCAGAAAGAGTTGAGGAGGGACGATAGATAGGTCGGAACTACAGACACGACATTTTTTTTATTTTTTTATTATTATTTTTTTTTAATAAAAATGTTGATCAAGATCAAGATCAAGATCAAGTTTTATATATGGAGCACACAGAAGGCTTAAAATGAACCGCTCACTTGTCAATCGATTAACTCCATTAAATAATAAGTGGAGAAAAATACCCACGTGTTTGTTAAAATTTTTTTCTTTAAGTGTAACTTCAGATAAAAAGAAACCAATTGTTTATGTATATCTAGCAATGATAACAACTATTTATTAGATAGTAAAAATTTCGCTCTTCAATTTGTTTTTTTTTTAGATACAAATCGGATGATTCTACGCTGATTTATGGCACGTCAAAGTTTCCTATTTAATAACCTATTTAACAGAATTATGAATGAATGATCGACGTATATAAATTCCCGGAAATGGGTACGCATCACGTAGTAAAGTAGTAAAAATCGTAAACACGTAGTATTTCCTGGTCGAAGTGACAACAATCACCTGTACATAGTTTGTGTTGAGTATTTAACTAGATCCTTTCGAACGATTTTGATGAAACTTGGTATCCAAGGGTTTTTGGGATCGTTGATTCCAAATCTGAACTCAAAATGTATAAATTCAAAATGGCGGACTCGATACAGCGAAGCAAAATTGCAAAAAGTGATTCGATTTGGATGAAACTTGGTATTCAGGGGTTTTTGGAGGTGTTGTTTTCAAATCTGAATTTAGAAATTCAAAATGGCGGACATAGTAAAGCGAACCAAAATTGAAAAGTGATTTCAAGGCATTTGATTTCGACGAAACTTGGTATCCAGGGGTTTTGGTTACTGCCGATAGTAACCATTTCGAGCAATCAGTCTTACTTATTGTTATTAATGAATCTTTGTGTTTTTTCTATTTACTCGAAATTTATAGTGCAACATTTCAATTAGAGCATTACACGTCATCAACGGAACAACAAAACGTCCTCCTATGTGAACGCATAAATAACAGTAACTGGATATAAACGCTCGCCAACTACAGACGACATCGCATCGACCCGTAACTTCACGAAAAGAAATCTTGGATCTATACAATTCCGGTTAGCCGAAGGAAGAATAAAATGGCCGTGTGCCGATCGGTAGTCCATTACCGTTGGACGTATTCGTCGAAGGCACACGCTCGGCAGGTTAGAAGAACGCGGAAGAAGCCTCGAACGCTACGAGAAGAGAGCGCGACCCGAAGGGACGATGAGAAAGAAGACGAAGACGAAGAGAAAAGAAGACGAAGAATAGGAGACAGAGAGACAGAGCGCAGGGAGAGTATCAAGCACGTGCGTGTGCATACAAGCAGACGCGTGAGAAAGAAAGACCGACGCTTGAAAACGCATCAAGCAGCATCGGAGACCGAGGGACATCAGGCAACGCTGGCGTCGTCCCGCCGATCCAAAGAAAGATGAAAAGGAGTACCATCGCTGGCGTTTTGCGGTGAACCGAGATTAATCTCCGCGATGATCATCAGTCGGATCAACGTTTGCGTGCTCTTCGCTTTAGGACTTGACTTAACATGATCTAATGACTCGAGAAGTCGGACAGTTTATCGAGATTTCCATCTCGCGTGCTAGGCATGAAGTATCGTCTGCGAGCCAACAAACTATTTCGATTCTTGGAAGATATTTCTAGAAATTTTTACGTTCACGAGGAAATAATTCGTAGCAAGCATTTATCCCCTGATGTCGTTACTTTAAGCTTCATCATCATTCGTATAGGTTGGCAAGCCAAGGAAAAGATAGACAACAGTTCGCTAGCCCGAAGACCTTAAGTGTGATAGAGATTAAATTGCTTCAAGACGCTATACGAGAAACTACGTTCCTTCTCGGAATCCTAGCGAGATTAAATTAAGACATAGGCTATAAGTGCTACAGAGGCATCTGTTTGTCGGAGCTTCAGAGATTTGCCCTCTCAATTTTGTATTTATTTTGCTACTGATCAGGTCGCCTAAATCTATACATATATATATATGAACGAAAACCCTAATTAATTGACAATAAGAAAGGGTATTTCGAAATTCAACCCCTAAGGTGGTAAAAAGGGGTTGCAACGTTTGCATGAGGAATATTTTATTTGTGGTCGGATTTGCATGAAACTTAGTCTTATTGCTAATCTTTTAAATATTTGTTTACTCGTATTCAATTTATTGTATTCCCGCTCATAAACCCCAGGGGGGTTTAACATAAACAAAGCCAATCCGGAGCACCACACGAACATATGGTGTGAATATAAGGTGGTTAGCTTCAGTAGTTCAGGACGTGATGGTCAGACATGCATACGCAACAACGTTTTTATATATTAAGATTTGCATATGCATGAAAAATATCCAAAATATGCACGCAAAAATTTGAATAAAATGTATTATAGTATAATAAGTAATATATTAGTATGTTACAGAATATTCGCTATGTACACATATGTATATAAAATACTTTTCACAATTATTCTGATGTATTATAATTCGCGTGACAATAAATTACGAGCATTTTTTCCAAATTTAATGGCGTAGAATACTGTAGAAAATCCTACATTCTTTTCTAAAGTTCTTTCACATTTTTAAAAACATATGCAATATATTATTTAAACATAAATATGCAAAATATATACAGTAAGAAATGTATTTTTATATTATTTCCTATAATATATTCTTGATTGCTGTCGGTAAATCGAATCGACAATCGTTCGGATCAATGAAAAAAACGATGTTGGGAACGTGTTTTTCGCATATATAATATGCGATGCCAAATCCTTACATATGCACAGTCAGGTACTACGATTTC